AAGAACATTCTTTGTACAAAAAATAAATGCTCCCACACGCTTTTTTCCAACTTGTTTTTTGGAAACTTTTAAGAAAAATAAAATAGAAACAAGCAAAAAGCTTGCAAACTTTTCTAGAAAAGTTTGTGGTCAAACTCCTCAAGAAGAGACTTTACTTAATAAGGTATCCTATGCCTAAACTAATAATTCCTACATTCATTTTTAGTTGTCTAATATTAATTTGATACGTTTTTTTAAAAATAAAAATATAATAATAATAATTGTATTATATCATCATTTCCTCTTTTGAATATAATAAATTTCATATTTAAAAAATAATTAATTATAAAATTAATAATTAAATTAAAAATTAAGTCATAAATTATAATCTCTTGTTTCTCCATGTTTTAAATTTATATTCTGGAATATAGATTGCAAATCCTTGCTTCACATTGCATATAAAAATGATTGGTTTCCCTTAAACAATGTGGACAATATTTGTTTTTTAGTTTTTTTTCAGAAAACACAGAAAGTTTCTAATATTTTTTATTTTTATTTTGTTCATTCTTGGTCTAAAATAAATTTAAATGGAAGATGATTTAGAGGTAATTTCAAAATTTTAACATGATGAATTCAATCTTTATATTCTTAATTATCACTGAGTTGATGTTACTTTTAAAATTATAATATTTTTCAAAAATTTAAGAATTTTTAATGATTGAAGTATTAAGAAATTTCTGAATTGTGGGTAGTAAAGGATTTACATTATTATTCTAATTTATTTACAATCATGCTAACAAAAAAACAAAAGCAAAAATAAAAATAAAAATGGACAGACCGACCACAAGAAAACATTAGTTTCTAAAAATTATATTAAAATAATAATAATACAATACACATGAGTTTCTGATTTCGGCGCCTATATTTTTTTGTTTAATTAAAAAACATCATATTAATCATTAAACAATTCTGATAAAATTCAGATTTCAGAGCAGAAGTTTTATGCAGAAAAATCTAAGGTAATAAATAAATAAATGGGTTTTAATATAAGGGGGTCAAATGATTGGATTAAAATAGATTGCGCTAATATATAAGCGCGAAAATAAGAAACAATCTCATCTTCCTTTTTAATTATTTTGATAAGGGGATGAAGAAAGTGGACAATACAGACTTGTATTTCTCATCAAATAAATACAAAATATGAATTATATTGAAAACGCTTCTAACCCCATTAAAAGTTACTTGGATTAAATTGATTGAGTTGGAATGGACTAATAATGAATTATAACTTAGTTCACCCAATTCTTAGGTATTAAGATTTTATTTTTTTTGTTTATTTTTAAAAATTATTTCAGTACCAAATGATTTTTTTTTCTTACTATAACTATATATAAAACATATCAAATAAAAAAAATATTTTGAAATCCCAACTACCGATCGAGAAAATAGTAAAGTGGCACTAAACATAATTTTAGAAGGACCTTCCTAGAAAAGAAATGAGTCTAGTTTAGATGACGAGGAAATTAACTTTCAATTTGAAAATAGCAAGTCAGTGACTAAATCAAACTTAAATAAATTGAACGAATCAAATTTTCATGAACTAATTTTTGCTCCGCAATTCCTTCTAGCATGTTCTTAAAAGGAAAGGTACTCCTTTCGTACACTTGCCCTATTTGGTCCCATATTAAAAAATATCTTTACTTATCCACGACTATTACTATTATTACCTTTATAGCCACTTTTAATAGTTTTCCATGGCTTCAATCTAAAGTCACCTTCAAAGACAACTGTTATTTTTTATGATATTATTCAACATATATTACCTCCACATTTAGTGCTCTTTACTTTGTCCCACTACCCATATCCTTCAACCCATTACATCATTTCTTCATTTGTTTCTTGTAATTAGTGCCTTCTATTTTGGTCCCACTCTATATATACTATTTTATACATTATGATGAGTTATGACTTGTGTTATATATATCTTGTCATGTCTCAACTAAGTGTTATTCTAGATAGTTCTTATATTCTTATTCACCATAGATATCAAGTAACTAAGAAATCGTTTTGATTGGTGAGATAACAAATTATTTGGTTATATATGTGATAACATTCGTAATATCTATATTCAAGTGTGTTTCGAAAATATGATGAAAAATGTTCGTCTAATATTCTTTTTTCACAGCATGTTGTAGTCATGAGTGTCTTTTTTTGGTCTTCTATTTTAACATGTTGAGTGAGAAATGTCTCTTCATTCATTTCAGTTTATTCATTGATCTAAGACTTATTATGCATATTTATTTTCTTTTTGACTCTTGGGGCGGTGGTATTTTTGAATGAAGTTCATCTGAAGCTCACCTATATACCATAGGATAAGCGATTATCGAAAGTTTGAAATTGACTTTAATGAATAAAACTTCCTCATACGGTCACTAAAACAGGTTCCTTTAGACGATTTGGTTGTTAAAACTATAGAGAGCCGGAAATAAGTCAAACATTATTTTGTTTTTTTGGTTGTTAAAACTATAGAGAGCCGGAAATAAGTGAAACATTATTTTTTTTTTTGCTAAAACAATAAATAAATTTGTTCACTTCATGATCACTAAACTTATATAATTTTGTTGATCCACAACTTAATTTAATGTTTCATTTCTTGTAAATTTAATTAATCCCTTTGGTTATGGGTTGTGATTAGATAGCTATCATCCACCATATGCTAATCTTTTATCCATATTTATATTTATGTAACTTGTATATTGTATATGTTTATTTGTATTTATATATATACCATCCGGCCTATAACTTTACAACTGTTTAATTCAATGTGAACGCTAACTTTTTTAATTAGTAATGAAGCATTGACTTATAATTTTGTTAATCTGGTTTTTTATTTTATTTTATTTTTCATAAGAAGGTGACCACATATTTTTTTTGGTTGTGGGGTTTTTTGGAATCTTAATATTATGTGCAAGTCAGGCGGTGTCTTTTCTTTACAAGTTGCATTTTCTTAATTACACGTTTTTAGGTTTTGTTCGTTATCACTCACATCTTCACTTAATCAAATTGACTTAAAAAGAATTGATTATTTTTTTAAAAAATAATATGTTGTGGTTAAGGTTACATTGGGGCAAAGTTATTGCAGAAACTAGAGTCAATGAATAATAATCAAGGATTGTGATGGAATGAATAAAAAATTCTTCAATTCAGTAGGTTGGTCGTTCTCTAGCTAGTGACTAGCCTAGCTATGGAACTAGGTATACACTGGTACGTTGAGACTCTATTCTAAGAGTGTGATAACGTTTGGGCTTATAAATTTCGCTAATTAAGCTTTGCTTTCTTTTTTTTCCTTTACTGATTAAATGGAAATAACCTTGATTGATGAGTCAACGAAACTTTACTTTTCTTGTAGTCGGTCCTCCCTTATTATTTTAAGGTCTCGATTTTGAGCCTAAAGTAAGAAAAAGAATCTCAACAAATTGAGTTTTTCCTTTAATAAATCTTATGTGATACGATAGCGAATTAATCACAATCCCACAATATGGTACCAAATTAACACTTGCATTGTATGTATACATTTTGCTTTTCTTTTTTTCTTTTTTGCATGTGTACATTTTTTTTAGTTAAAAAGCAATTTGTTGAGTTTCTTTTCTCTACCACTCTTTAGGAATAGTGGTGGAGATACCTTATGCCAAAGAGTGTCAAATGACAGACTTGTGAATATTTATTGGTCAAAAAATTATATAGTTTACTTACTTACTAAGGTTAAAATTTTACTTTTGTGTATCATGTTTATTATAGGTTGATTTTTTTTATTTTTTTTTAGGTGTGTATATCTTTTTTTTTATTATTTCGACACTTCAATAAAGAAAATTAATTTCGCCATTGCTAGAAGCTTTCATCTTTTTTATTTTTGTGATGAATTAAATTCATAACCTTAGGATTGAATGTGGAGAATGCTTACTGCTATTTTGCCTTTTAAATTATGCCTAAAGAAGACCTTGAAACTGGATGATCTTGAATTATTCATCCCGCTTACTCTATGGTCAAATCATCAATGTCAATAGTTCAAAGTATTGCCTATGGAGCAAAACTTATTAAACTTGACATTTAGTCGATGAGATAAACAGAGTCAAAATTCAAGACCACCTATTTTTAAAATTATTTTTTCGTATCAGATTGAACCCACGGAACCGGTCCTAGGGAGAGAAAGAAGGGGTAGGCAGCCTAATTGTGATTGGTTGGTCAAGCTAACTTAGGCTCTAGGTGCAATGAGAAGCCAATACCTGTAGCTTGATCACTCAACTGTAAATTTTAATAAACCCTTAATTAAACAAAGTGATTAACTACCTTTTTTTAAAATAAAAAAAACTAGATCTTAATCCTTTTTAAATATTCCACATTAATATGGTCTGTATCATTCTGGAATTTTTTAATTAATTTTGTCTTGTAGTTACAACCATGAAATAAAGATTAAAGCAGCTGATTTGCATTTTGGAATATTTTATTAGCATAAAAATCTGTCCTAACTTTTGGTGTCAATGGCTTATATCCATGATCAAGAGTTCATCCGAACCTCTTTCAACAGAAAATTATACTGTTTATACATAATTAAAATTAATTTTTTTTTATGTATATATAGTAGATGTTGACCCTCTTAGATTTTTTTTTTATATTTTAAACCCCTTAATAAAAATTCTGACTCCGTTTTCCTTTGAGGAGTGCAAGCATTAATTACTGAACTTTTAGTGCTTGAGATTTCTTGTAATTGATAATGACTTCATTGAATTTTTATACTTCTTTTAATTTGTGTCTAACAATAATATCAACCTTTTTTTTTCAATAAAATGACAAGTTTTAGGACCATTCAAGATTTTTTTAATTTTATTTTTTTTGTGATATACAAGTTGGAGGACAGCATATATCTGTTAAGTTTTTTTTTGGCCAATAGTTCTTCTGTCCTTTCCATTTGTTCTTACTTAGAATCTTTTTTGTATTAAAAAAAGTCTGACCAAATTGACAACCTTTTTTCTTGCCCCCTTATATACATAAATATATTACATATTAAACTCACACCAACACTTGAAACATTTACTCCCTTCTTTTCTGTTTCTGTTTTGTTTTCTGTTTTCTTGATTGTGTGTTATGCAAATGAAAACAAGAAGGGGAAAGAGATCATCTCAGGTGTGTGTTTACATGTTCTGTTTTATGTATATATATTGTATTCATATTAATAAGTTTTTCAAACGTTAAGCTGTTGTTTTGTTGTAGGCCTTTTGGCCATCCATTGTGATGAAGAAATGGCTGAATATTCCACCTAAGGTGTATGATTTTAGTGAAGATGAAGCTGATACCGAAACGGAGAGCGAAGATGATGGTATGTAAATTTTCATATATATATATGAAAAAAATTGATTCATGATATTTGTTATTGATTAGTTGTGAATTTCTAGCTTGCTCACTCAAAGATGAAAGGATGGTTGAAGATCATGGACATCGAAAACCGGGGAAGCTTAATGAATGCCAGACTCAAACTACAGGTGCTAATGAAAATTCCAATGAAAACATCAACTCCTTTTCATATATTAAACTGAGACTCATCAGTTCGATCATTAAGTTTGTGTCCTGTTTATACTGATTGAGTACTCTTATTATGATGTTTGATTAGTTGAACTTTGAATTGATCAGGGAAGCGTTCGGTTGAGTATACACCGAGACACAGGAGAGGGAAATCAGAAACTTTGAGAGCTCAGTATATTAACACGAAAGAAGTGAGGTTTGTCTTTACAATCAGTTACATGGTGGTTTGGTTTGATTTTTTTCGGACTTGAAGGCCGGTTGGAAGAGTTAGAAGATTTATATAAGCCTTGATTTTCTGCAGAGTTACAGTTGGTACATGGAATGTGGCAGGAAGACTTCCTGATGAAGATCTAGATATTGATGAGTGGCTTTGTATGCAAGAACCAGCAGATATCTATATTCTTGGGTATGCATAAAATACTTTTAGGAACTTTCCAATGAACTGTAGCAGATTTCCTGTTTGTTTTAGCTCATGTCAAATCCGTTGTGCAGTAAATCCATGTTGAAGAGTCCCATCTTTGAGCTAGCTTTTGGGGTTGAGTTAGCCCCGATGTTCATTTCTTTAACATGATATCAGACCAGAACTCATCTTACCTCTTGCTACCTAATGTTAGGTCCTCCATATTAAAAAATTGTCCACGCTTCAGATGTCTAGTCTTGGGTGTGTGGGGTTGAAGAGTCCAACATCGGGCTCTTACGGGGTGGATGGTCTCTTTATATGTGACCTGGAAAATACTCACCTCTCGAGCTAGCTTTTGGGGTTGAGTTAGGCCGAAGATCCATTTATTGAATCTATTGAGTTTATATGATGTAGTTGTTTATGACCTGCAACATGTTGTTTGTTGAAAATTAGAAGACACATAAATGAGTTCAACCTTAAAAGTTTGTATCTGCTGTTTACAGATTCCAAGAGGTGGTCCCTCTGAATGCTGGAAATGTACTGGGAGCAGAAAATAGAAGGCCAGTTCCGAAATGGGAGGCGATCATCCGAAGAACATTAAACAGGACGGAGGAACCTGAAACTAAGCTCAAGAGTTATAGTGCTCCGCCTTCTCCAGTTTTAAGGACTTCTTCTGCTGATGACATAATGGCGGATGCGGTTGATGCTCCTGAGCTGGATAGAATGGAAGATGAGGCATCACTCGATACAGCTTTGATTTTCCAGAACAATACTATCAACTTAGGAAAGAATCTCTATTTAAAGAGGATATATGGCATTGATTGTGACAGTAGATTGGATTGGCCTGAACGTCCACTGGATGCGACATCTCAAGTTCTTTCTTCTAATTTTAAGTTGAGGAGAGTCTTCAGTAGTACCGCGAGATTTGGTTTTGGTACCATAGACAATCTTCTTGCTTTTGACACTACAGGATTAGACGGTAGAGGGTTAAAAAGGGTGCACCAAAGCTCAGGAAACTTAGGATTGATGTCAATGGATCAAAAAGAAGAACCTGTAGTTCTTGATGCTCTTTCTGATGGCCCTGATCAATTTTTTGATGAGGAAAATGACATGTTTGATGAATTTCCAGAGGTCAAAGAAGAAAATTCACTTCTAGATCATACAGTGAAGTCTCGTCCAATGTATGTACGTATTGTCAGCAAGCAGATGGTTGGTATATATGTATCAGTTTGGGTACGTCGAAGATTGAGGAGGCATATAAACAACTTGCAAGTCTCTGCTGTTGGAATTGGACTTATGGGATACATGGGCAATAAGGTAATGCTTCTTCTTTCAGTTAAGACAATCAGGCTCTTACTGCTTTCGATTCCCCCTATCTCTTTCTCCGACCCCTTATGTATCTGTCTACACTTGTAAATGATCCATAAGCCAATTATAGCACTAATAGCTGACTTAGAAGTGATGACATGCCATTACAGGGATCTGTTTCTGTGAGCATGTCTCTTTATCAGTCGCGGCTATGCTTTGTTTGTTCTCATTTGTCATCCGGACAAAAGGAAGGGGCAGAGCAAAGGCGTAACTCTGATGTCAATGAAATCATGAGACGTACTCATTTCACGTCCATATTTGACACAGATACAGATGAACCACAAACAATTCCATCTCATGAGTAAGTACCTCTACAGTGAACTCAACAACCATTTCAGTTTTTCGCGTTAAGACATGTTAATTCAGTAACTACAAACAATATATATAACTTTACTTCAACATCTACAGTCAGATATTCTGGTTTGGAGACTTAAATTATCGAATCAGTATGGCGGATGCTGAGGTACGGAAGCTTGTTGCCAATAAGCAATGGGATGAACTACTCAACAGTGATCAAGTAAGTCAATACTAAACTTTGTCTCAAGTTTCCATTTTATGCATAAATTCCTACGAAAACTAAACGAATTAGTGTTGCATCTCATGAGCAGTTACACAAAGAACTCCAAAATGGGCATGTCTTTGCTGGTTGGAAGGAAGGATTGGTTAACTTTGCACCAACTTACAAGTATGAATTCAACAGTGATAGATACAACGGAGAAATTACGAGAGAAGGGGAAAAGAAGAGATCACCAGCATGGTAAGCAACAAGTTTGATAGTCTAGAAGAATCGCGAGAAGCATGACATAAATTTTAACTGTATTTTCTTCATGTTTATGCAGGTGTGATCGTATACTATGGTTAGGAAAAGGTATAAAACAGCTGTTTTACAAGCGCGCAGAGTTAAAACTATCAGATCATAGACCTGTAAGCTCAATGTTCTCAGTAGAAGTGGAAATATTTGACCACAGAAAACTACAGAGAGTTCTCAATGTTAAAAGTGCTTCAGTACATCCTGACATTCTGCTAGAGATTGGAGAGTACTAAAAGATGAAACTTCTGCAGATAAAAACTAACATTAGGTGAGTTGCCAGAATACAACTCGCAACAAAAAAAGAACATATCATATACTAGAGCTGGCTACAAGAAAAATGTGTCTAATGTTTTGTACAAAGTGAGTTTTCCTTTGTATTTGATTTTGATCTGGGACATCCTATAATGTATTTTTTCATAGGCTTGTATCCCTTAGTGTGAATTTAGTTCATACATTGATTTTCCTAATTTCTCTTTTTATTGTATTACTTTGTTTGTTTACATTACCCCATTAGAATAGAAGGGAACAACTGTATATTTTAGTAAAATTATGTCTAGGTAGAAATTTCAAAGTTTTTTTACATTTAGAGTAAGTGTTATGCTTGTAACTTGAGGTCAATTGAATAAAATTACTAATTGCATTTCTTTCAATCTTCATCAACTCATGGAACATAATACATAAACATATACTCAAACTTGGCCTCGCGGCGAGCACAACTCTCTTCCCATTTACGAGTGTTCAAGAAGTCATCTCCTGATTCGTTATCCAAGTTTCAAGGTACACGTATAGACATTCAACTCGTCCCAACTATGTCCCATGGACACCCGACATTGATGTACCACATACACCGTAGATATGTCTAGATGATCATTTTGTACATTAGAGTGTTCAACTGACACAATGGTGACAAGTTGAAATGTATATGTGCATATGCAAAATTGGAGTATTTACTTGCCAGTTGAGGCCAAGTTGAGTGTTTGTTTATGTATTATGCCAATCTCTAAAGTCCTTTTTATTGCACCGACACAAATATACAGTCAAACATCTTTTAATAACAACATTGTTTGCTTATATTTGTTTCTTTTATTGTTATAGCAAAATGTTGCTATGGAGAACATATGATATGACATAACATGAAAAATTGGTTCCAAAAAGCTTGGCCGTTATAGCAAAAATATTGTTATAGAGGACGGTTGTTATCTTGCTCGTCCATGCATTGTCAAAATAACAAGTTCTGAACAAACATTCAGGCACAGGACATTACAATCAATTTGTCTGTCCTTCCAATAGTTCTCACTGGACCAGTTTCTACTCAAACAAATAAATGCCATAATAAAACAAAGCTCCATAGGTGTGGCAAGAGTCAAAATTCAGGCAGGAACTGAAGCTTGGACAGGAGTTTCATATCAACCTGCCTGAGGCTCGGACAGGAGCTTCATATCGATCTTTGGCAAAGATGAGGGATAATGTCACAGCAGCATTTTCAGGATTCAAATTTCAGAGCATGAATCAATCCTAACTGAAAAATAAGCACATGGCCTACCATCGTCCTATCCTTCCAACTATCTAACTTAAGAACAACAAAAATGTAGGACTTAATGTAGACGAGCGAAAAAAAGAGAGAAGAATATATTGACTCTGCATGTCAGTCACCTCTAAGGTAAAGGAAAGATGCATATGCCAATGGAGGTGTCAACTGATGGAAGAGCAAAATGAGGTAAGATGATTTGAAGAACAAAAAAAAACAGTAGCTAAACAAGTGCTCACGGTAACCTGTGGGGTTGCTAGTATCTCTCCTACCTACTGGAAAATGCTACTAACAGAACAATCATCATGCACTCGCCAAATTGTTTCACCGAGAAGATTTGCAACTGAAAGAACAGTAAGCTGTGGAAAACAGTTTTTTTCTATTGCAGGAATTGTGTTTGTGACGATGACCTCTTGAAAAAGGCCACTTGACAACCTCTCAATCGCAGGAGGGCTGTCAAAACAAGAATATCAAATAGTAAGTTAATATAAAGGCAATTTAAGCAACACGCTTAATAGAAAATATTTCACACAAGATAGATTGTGTTGAAGTGGATCCATTTTCTTAATGCAGCATAATGTCTCAAATAAATGAGAAATGTTACCTGAAAACAGCATGAGTACAACATGCATAAACTTCACGTGCGCCCTCCTGATGCAATAGCGCTGCGCCTTTGGCAATAGTCCCTAAGACCCATAAGCATAAAGTTAACACATAATTTCAAACCAGGCCTCATAAAGAGAGAATAAGCCAAACAAAAACGAAAGGAACTCCACATTGCACATGTGATCCTAGTGGAAGTTCTAGTTGAGACAAAATTAATCTGAAGAAGATGCAGAAATGGAAAAAAGATGAACATAAAAACCAAAAGTTTTCGGGCAAACGACTCGAGATAGAGGATACTCAACAGATCACCACAGTTTTTTTTTAGTTCACTGCTTCAGTTAGTGCTCATGCTAAAAAGAATGAAGACTAATAAACCATTTTTTTCCAGGTTTTGGATTGACATTATTATTTGATTAATGCGTCCAACTAACCTGCTGTGTCAATCATGTCATCCACCATAACTGCAACTTTTCCTTTAACATCACCTATCAGGTTCATAACCTGCAACACAACAAAATAATGACTCGGGGAAAAAATAGGATGCATTGAAAGAAATGTTGCAAGAAGAAACACACACACAGTTTAATGCTTTATGTAGTATAATAATAGCTAATAACATCTTTTCATTTGCATTCAAGCATATCAGGGGTCTTCCCCTCTGTTATTTGGGATGCTCAATCAAGAGATGTAAGCAACAAATTATAGGGCAGCCGGGTGCACTAAGGCTCCCACTATGCGCAGGGTCCGAGGAAAAGCTGGACTACAAAGGTCTATTGTACAGTCTTACCCTTAAAAGGAATAATTAAGATGATGATCCCTACATAGAGAAAATTATATCAAAAAGCACCAAAATCATGTTGAGGTAGACTAAAGAAGAAGTGCAGATAGATGCATGTCACAACACAATCAGTGACCCACGAAAAATAATTATTTGATGTATTAGCCAATATTTAGCATCACATAAAGGAGTTAGGTCCATAGAATTCATACATTTACAGTATCTTCTCGGTACTTCATTTATGAATTACATTTACTTGTACCAAAAAAAAGAGTTTGTAACAAGTTACTTGACTGGGGAGGAATGCTTATAAACTATGAGAATTGAACACAGAAATAGCGCCTACTTTATAGAAAAGAACTTCTTTAGACTGCTAGTCCGTTGCAAGCCATAATAAACAGTCCTGAACCTATACAGCACTTTCAGACAGGAGGATCTCAAAGGACCTTTTCACCTTCCACCATTCCCCTTAAAACATGGAAATGCAAAAGAGAAGGGGAAAAAAAGGAAGAGGGTGAGGTGGGGGTGAGTGGATGGGTGAGGTGGGGGTGAGTGGGTTGGTGGGTGGGGGAATTGAAGCATAGGGTACACTCATTAAATAATGGTAAACAATTGCAAGGACAAATCATTGCTACAGTTTATAGAACTTTTAAGGAGAGCTTCACCTAATCTATTGCGAGACCAGAACTCAGACATTGTTTCCACGAGAAGAAAAGAAAAAGAAGAAAACGAAAATGCATATCAATGCAATAAACTGCAGTAACAAGGTTTAGCTTTGTATCTACCTCAGCTACATTATGTCCGTGCCGCCTTTTGTCCACAATGGCTAAAGGTGCATCAGATAACTTTTTTGCGAAGGCACGTGCTCTAGCAACTCCGCCAACATCAGGAGAGACCACTACCAAATCATCAGACGAAATTTTCTTGCTAGCAAGGTAATCAAGGACAACAGGCTGTGCACGCAAAGAATGGAGACTGCTTATTTTCCAATTCAAAATGGGCAACACTTGACATTTTCAACAGTACAGAAGAGATTACCTGACAGTACACATGATCCACTGGAATGTCAAAGTAACCCATGGATTGCCCAGAGTGCAGATCACAAGCCAAAACACGATCCGCGCCTGCTTCAGTTATAAGGTTCGCAACCAATTTGGCGCCAATGGATTCACGACCTTGTGTCTGTAAAAAGAAAATTTAAAATTATTAGAACGTAATAAAATGATGTAAAAATTGTCTTCACATTTGTAAATCCTTATTGCCAACTGAAAAAATCCCAATGCATATGAAAAGAAAGTAGTAAAAAAGGACACAAAGAGAGACTTCCTGACAAATCGTTGCACTAATCAATAGTAAAGAACACTAAGATATTAAACAACCAGAAGAGGATGCAAGAAAATAGTGACAGTACTTCTACTCATAACTTCATAAGCGCAGAGAGAAATGTCAGGTTAGGCTCTACCCTCCTTTTGAAATCACTTTTTGAGTATTATCATACAGGTATACAGAGGTCAATGCCACACCCATTCCCACCTCAAAGTGGAGCAGAAACAAACAAAAGGAGGCAAAGAAACAAAAACTTGAAGCTTGCAAGCATATAATTTGCAACGGAATCTAACTTGCCTTTCTATCAGCTCTGGCATATCCAAAGTATGGAATAACTGCAGTAATTGTCTTGGCAGAAGCCCTTCGACATGCATCTATCATTACCAGAAGCTCCATAAGGTTTTCATTGGCCGGAGGACATGTAGATTGAACCAAGTAGACATCACAGCCTCGAACACTCTCTTGCAACTGAACATAAATCTCACCATCAGCAAAGCGCTTGATCTTGACCTTTCCCAGCTCAAAGCCCATGTACCAAGCAATTTCCTAAGTGAAAAAAGATGCTGTGTCAGTTGTAAAGAGAGATATAGCATAAACTTAAAAGAAGTCAGATGGATTTCATGGCTAGAACTAACAATGATTCTTATATTTTGAAGATTGCGGAGAAAAGTAAATAGTTACTAAAACAAAAATATGAAGAACTCTTGTAACGGAAATTTCAGATATATTTGTAATTGTGTCTCTTTCCTAGTAAGAGAGAAAACAAAGAAATCTTCCATCTTTCTCCGTTCCTATGCTTCATCAGGTATTCAACCAGTTAGATTCTAGAAAGTAAGACCAGAAACATAGGAAAGAATATAAGTGTATCAAATTCTATACCCACTTCTTATGCAATATTTAAATGGAAGAAATTCTGAATAATTGATGAGACTGAAATTTAAAGCTTAAACATTCAAACTGAAAGCGAACCATTCTCCATCCCAAGTTCCGAAACTATATCCTTGAGAAGGCTAGAATAGTCAAGAACAATGTACAAGTGGAGGCAGTCCCCCAAGGACTTGTTTTCTTTTCCTGTTAGTAAGGCTAGTCCAATTTCAGTAATTAGTTGATAACAAATTTAAACCACTGAACTATTATTTTGAAATTGAGGAAGCACAAAACTATGACATCCTGGAAG